ATCAGTGCCCATCAGTGTACATCAGTGCAGCCTCATCAGTGCCCATCAGTACAGCCTCATCAGTGCCTCATCAGTGCAATCTCTTTAGTGCAGCCTATCAGTACCCATCAGTGCAACCTCATCAGCACATATCTGTGAAGAAGCAAAATTACTTATTTGCAAAAATTTTTATTAGAAACCTTTTTTTTTTTAATTCCTGTAATTTTTATCTGTTAAGCAAAAAATGAAAAAAAATCCAGTGGGGATTAAATTGTTACTAAACCCACAACAGTAAAATCAATCTGTATATGCCACCCCTGCCTTGCATAGGCCTTAGGGACATGGCTTTTTTGCATTTATTACTTATCGCTGTCACTACTACTATTACTACTTAATTGTAACCCTTGCTAATTATTCTGTAATATCTGAACATTATTTAGGCCCTGCATGGGTGAATTACATACTTGCTTTTAATTTCTTTTACTGATTTATAAAAGCAATAAATGTATTGAAATTAAAAAAAATATATAAAAATTGAATATAGGGTACAGTGTTGCATGACAGTGCAATTGTTATTCAAAGTGAGACAGCACTGAAAGCTGAAAATTGGCCTGGGCAGGAAAGGGGTGAATGTGGCCAGTACTGAAGTGGTTAATACTAATATAGGTAATATACTAATATAGGTAGCCTATTCACATTATTTACATTTCACTAATACTTTAGATTACTGCACTTTGCAAACTGCAAATGATATTTGCACTGTCTCACATAAAATGTACCTGTGATGATATGGCATTAAATAAATTGCCAGCAGGAATTAATTGCACACACCTGTAAGTGTCTGCATATACTTTTTCTTGTTTTCCCAAGTATCCCCAGAGCCCTAAAACTGTATGCAAATACAGACTTTGGGACTCATGTTGCATTTTCGAGTCTGACTATTAGACAGTGAATCCGTTGATTACAACGATGGGCCACCTGTAATGTCCAGAAGCCAAGAAGGAGGGTGGTGTATGAGTTTAACTTTAGCTTCTGACTTTTCTATTTGAATAATACAATGAAACAGGTTTCAGGACTCTGAAAGTCATAAAAAGTTTTGCACAGGAACCTCTATTTTATTTGACATCATATGAGTACAGATTTATTTTATATTATCCTGATTTTACTGCACCAAACACATTTACCCCATGAGATTTAGGTGGATCTCCTGAAGGTGAAAAACTTTCTTCTGCTGCATCCCAGCCTACTGAACTTCGAGGCAGCTGTCCCATTTTGAAATCTTTACTCTGGGATACAGGTTCCAGAGGCTGATCATCGATTTTAGGAAAAAACTTTTCATGGAGGCTGATCATGACTGTCATCAGCTTCTGGATCTGAGGAGCTCCTGCAGGGAGGAATAACACATCACCAGGAAACTTACTGGGCATCATGGAAAGAAAAGTTTAAATATAAAGCACAGTTCATTGCTTGACAGTCAATAGGTGGAGACCAACCAAATATGGCCACATGTATTTCACAACACTAAAGAAAACTATTGATAAAAAACATATGTGGCTTACTGGGATAAAAAGGAGACAGATTCATAACTAAAAAGGGAAAATTATAGTATTTTAGAATATTTATAGTCAGTTTACACCAATGTGCTTTGCTATGAGTTCACATTACAAAACAAAGATTTTCTCTTTCAACTGCAGTTAATGAAGTCCTGTGCGTCTATGCCATAATACACTAAACTACTACACAAGGGTCTATTTTGCAGTATATAGTTTGAAATAGACTACTTCAGAAAATAATATTGGGAAATTAGGGAAGATTACCTCTCATTAGGGCCACTGGATCCTCTGTCTTTGGCTTCAGAAGGTTGACGCCAATCACCATAGCTAAATTCTCTACACTCATCTTGTTTACACTGGAATTTTTTTGTACTTCGTAAAGAAATCTGCAATAGCAAAATGAACAAATAGAGAAATATACTGTAAATACAAACATGTGGCAATATTTGAAATGGTATAAAAAGTGGGAAAACTAAACAAGAAGAGGTTTACAGCATATAGTGGAAAAGATTTTAGGCTATGAAAGAACATAATATTATATATGTTGTAAAAGAAAAGCAAAGAAAGCACAGATTATCATCTTACAAGCCTATTTGTTTCTTGTTTTTTTATTAGAGGTAGTAATAGAGACAGGCTGAAGATAAATACAACCAATTGTACCTTCACTGTCATAAGATATCATGTTTTAAAGTGATAGTAAACTTTTTTTTTTAAATAATAAACATGTTATACTTACCTGCTCTTTGCACAGAGCAGCCCCGATCTTCCTCTTCTGGCATCCCCTGCTGGCACTCCTGGCTCTTCAGCAATTGCCCCCATAGGAAGCTGCTTCCTATGTGGGCACCCGTGCAGGCTCGATCCTGAGCCACGGTGACTGCATCTATAGACACAGACAGCACAGCTCAGCCACATCCCCCCAGCTCCCTCATCACAGGATTTGACTGACAGCAGCAGGAGCAAGTGGCTCCCATTGCTTTCAATCTGCCCTGTGAGGAGAGCTGAGCCGCAGCCAAGGAGCTGGATCGAGATCAGGCTCAGGTAAGTATAAGGGGGATCTGGGTGGATCCTGTCGCACAGAAGGTTTTTCCCCTAATGCAGAGAATGCATTAGGGAAAATACCTTAAGCCTTTAGAATCACTTTAAGTGACAGAGTTATTGTGTCCTTTGTTTACTTCAATGATTACTAGAATGCAGGAGGCCAGCATCCTAGCAACCTTTGCTGTGAACCAGGGGCGGACTGACCATTTGGAAACTCGGGCACTGCCCGAGGGCCCGGGGTCAGTAGGGGGCCCCATGAGATGCCCCTGGTACCTTTTTCATAGGCTTTTTTGAGTTTGGGGAAGGACACAGGGGCCCCATGGTCCCATATTGCCTGGGGGCCCCATGAGTTGTCAGTCTGCCCCTGCTGTGGACTCAACACCTTGTTGCTGAGCCTGATGTGGATGCTGAAAGACTAATTCCCCCATCAGGTTTGTCTTTCTTGTGATTGACAGTAGACAGCTGTGAGTGGATTCCATAGCTGCTATTAGGCTGTCCACTCAATAACTCAATTCCACAGACACTCCACCTGTTAGATAGGCGTAACCTGATTAGAAACTCTAACAGACTAGTTCTCCATCAGGTCTGCCTTGCCTAAGATTGATAGTGGACACCATTATGCAGATTTCATAGCATCTATTGGTCAAAATAGCGGCTATGGAATTTTCCCATTGCCGTATACTGTCATTGACAAGCAAGATGGACCTGATGGGGTACTGGTCTCTCAGAGATCACCATGAGGCTCTACCCATCCCACAACAAAACCCTTCTGCCATTTACCTCTCTGTAGGACAGGCACAGTAGCCGGGCAGGGAACTCAGCGTTGCTGAGCTATACTGAGGAGAAAGTGTCCATTATGAACACTGCAACCCAAGGGCGGACTGGCAACTCATGGGGCCCCTGGGCAATAGGGGATCATGGGGCCCCTGTGTCCTCACTCACACTCAAACCGCACCCAAAAAAATCAAATGAAAAGTATCAGGGGCATCTCTTGGGGCCCCCTACTGACCCCGGGCCCTCGGGCAGTGCCCAAGTGCCAGAATGGTCAGTCCGCCCCTGCTCCATCCTCAGTGCTGGCCTCCATGAGACAGATTCATGAACCTGTTTCTGAAAGGTTCATAAATTTCATGCAAGCATTGACAGTTGTGGTGTGGAGGCCCAACAGTATTCTAAAGAGTGTCATAGACACTCTTTATGAATTCCAGGGGTTATTTCTGGTTCATCAACAGTTATCTTTCTGTACTTGCAGTGTGTTTAAAAAGATAAAACATGGTAAAATGTGTATGTTTTGAACTGCTGTTCTATAGCAATGGATTGTTGCAGAATACTGTAATTTGACTTAAAAATAATGATACCAAGTTAAGACATTACCTGCATATAAAGCAAAGAAGATTGTAATTATCTTTGGGAAGAAGCATTATTTGTTTTCTAAGTTCCTCATGACCCTGTAAGCAGTAAATTTAAAAAAGATATAGTATTATTAGAAATAGTAAATAGTTCATCACGTTTAACCTATTTAAACACTGTGGAGGCACTCCACAGATTTTTTTTCAAGTTCAGCTTTACAGCTTCTATGTCTCCTGCCTGCTCATTGGACAATTATCTGCTGTGTTTTTAATTCTAATTTACTACCCAATTTGCAGATTGAAAGCAGACAGGTGACACAAAAAGCTTTTACAAATGAACTAGGAAATAGGGATGCCCCATCTTTGGAAATACAGTATGTGAATCATAAATCATTTGGCAGCATAGGGCTTTGTTTGCATCAGAAGCTCTTTCATCTTCGGTTAAATGTAAACCCTAATAATGAGCTCCTCTTATTTACTCCACTTTGGTCTGTTAAATTACTTTTGAAAGCATTTTGTTATATTTGTTAATTAAGTGCAAAAAAAAATACCTGTTGATTATGTGAGAAATTAAGAGCTCTCTGTCCATACAATCTGTGTCATCTCAACCAGTCTATTTAGCCCTCCTAGTCTTGAACTACAGATTGATTTGTGATTTTGTAGAGATCAGAGAGAAGGAGGGTTTAAAGACTTTAGCAAAAGAAGTCAGTCCTCAACAAGATTCAGTCCTCAACAATGTTGTATTTTGTCAGCCTACACCAGGACTTAAACCTCATGCACATGGGATGTTTTTACTACTGCTTTTAGGGGCATCAGGCTCTTTTTTTTTTTTTTGCTGCTTTCACACACCCCTCCTCTTCCCCACTGCCCTACAGCAGATATACTGCTACAGGGCAGCAGGGGTGCATTTCGGGGTAGGGGGCGCGCGTAAGCTGCACACGCGCCCTACCCGCGCCTTCATTTGCGGCCACGGCTGTCAATCACCGGGTCCCAGCCGGCGATTACCGCCGGAGTCCGGTGATTACCGAGCATCTTTGGCAGGGAGGAGGACTGCTTTGTTTACTAACAGTCCTCCTCCCTGTAGGCTCGGAACACTGCTCTGGATGCTTGTGCACAGCACAGCCATCCAAATCAGTGTGCTTACAGTGAAGCACACGGACACAGCCCTAGCAAAACACTCCCAGCACACAGTTAACCCTTTGATCGCCCCTCATGTTAACCCCTTCCTGCCCAGAGCTATTAATACATTGTCAATGCTTTTATTTAGCACTGATCACTGTATTGGTGTCACTGGGGATGTCAGTGACAACAAGTCAGTTCCCCCCAGTGTCAGAATGCCCGCCGCAATCCAGCTATAAGTTGCTGAGCACTGCCATTACTAGTAAAAATATTTTTTTTTGTACAATCCAATACAGGCTTATTTGAAATACCTCTTTTCCTGTTGTGATCTCTATTTGTCCACTGGTCATCTCTTTCCACAACTTCATCAATTCCCTGCATGCTTTGCAGCTTCTCCTCTGCTGTTTACATTCAATTAATAAGGACTACATATCCCACGTTACTTTGCTGCCTGCAAGCAGTGATTCCTCCTGAAACTCCTCATCTGTGGTTCAATTGCAAAGGACTACATATCCCATGACCCATGATACTGCCTGCAAGCAGTGATTCCTTTACTGACTCCACCTCTGAAACTCCTCCTCTCAGTATCGTTGTAGTTCAGAAGGCAGGCTCTGTGAAATGTGTGCCTACTCACAGGACATAGTGAATATGTGGTTGTGTTTGGGTCCATGCATCCACACCCACACAGATGTCGCATTGGGAGTAGTGGCTGTGTCCTTGCAGCCGCTGCACCCCAATTGACAGGAATGGGATTGCCTACTTAGGGATGCAGTGATTACCTGTGCATCCTCATGCAATGAAAAGAAAGGCTGTCAAGCAGTGCATAGATTTATATGCCAAAAGTGAACGAGGCCTTACCCATGATCTCATCAGGATCCATTGCTGTTTTATCTACTCTCATCATCTGAGACTTAGGGATAGCATGCCTCAATGACATGGGAAGGAAAATTTGATATATTTTTAATGAATTCCTGTCAGTTGATTTAACAAAAAGATCACTCTTCAAAGTACCACCAACTCTATATACTAGTCTAAGTCTGTCATCCTTATTTTCACTCCAATGCTCAGAAAGTTTGTTAACTAGACATTTATCATGTAATCCTTATTTAAAGGGCTGAATGTTGCCCCACCCATAACATAAAAATATCATCAATGTATCTTACTCCACTATGTAGCATGTTTATATAACATTCATATATTTCCATAAAAATTGCTTTGCAGGAGCCATCATTCTTATTATTTGTCTTAATAATATTGCTTAATTTAAGCAATTTAATGGTATATTTTTTTCTCCCCTATTTTTTTTCCCTTTTTTATCTATTTTTAGAAATAATGTCTTTCATGTCACGTGTTTGTATACATTAGATTGATGTAATTCATGTGAACAACATCCGATTGACATGGATACATAGATACATAACGGGATAGTGGGGTTTTTGTATAATCATTTTTTTTTTTCGATGGGTGGAATTTGAAATCATCCACCATTTCCTATTGAGTCCCAAAACTTGGGGGTTATCTCTTCCCATGGTGTGCTTCCCAATTGGATGTTGCATTATACTTTACATAGCGAGTGGTTATTTACTGGTTGCTGTCACTATTTAAATTGTATGGAAGTTGGGATGATTATACTTCATGCTTTAAAAAGTCTCAAAAGTTGCATTTCTACTTGGAGAATTTTACATTTTGCCTTGTTACTGCCTACTTTACCCTGTAATAAAGAGCTATATGGATGATACATTGTTTATAATAAAAAAAAAGGCATCTGTTCCATATTTCAATTCACTTTTAATGATGTCCATCACTTCATTTGGCAGAAACTGTCCAAGTCTAGCCGAACTTACAGACTGCTTTCTTTACCTTTGAGGAAAATGTATTCCTTTATTCTAGTTGGATCTTAGTAGCAAATGTGTCTTTTATTCCAATTTTCAACTAAATTGTGGGATATGAATATTAAGGGCTGTGATTCCTTTAATAGATGGCCTTATATAGAGGTGAAAAATTGTTTAAAAACATATTTTGGATGATCACAACCACAGGAACTTTATTGCATTGTCAGTATTTTTGCACCAGTAAATTTGCAACATATATGTTATTTTTCAATCTTATGGGAGAGAAAAGATTGAATTTCAGTGAGTTTCAGGTTTAATGCCAGTGTTGTGTTTGTTTTATTAGTAATATGAATAAATTGTAAACATATACAAAAAAACTTTCAATAGCACCAGCATACAGTATAACACAAATAGAAATCAGCAAAATTGCAATATTTTATTTATGAGTCATTAAATAATATTCTTACTAAAAGAATCAATGTGATGGATTTTGAGCTGTTCATAGACCAGCCAAATCAAAGAGGCCTTTGTTTGTTGCAATATATACAGTGAAGGAAATAAGTATTTGATCCCCTGCTGATTTTGAATGTTTGCCTCCTCACAATGAAATGATCAGTCTACAAATCGAATATGTTAGGTGTATTGTAACACTGAGAGACAGAATAGCAAAAAAAAAAAAAAAATTCAAAAGAAATGCATGTCTAACAAATGATGCACTGATTTGCATGTTCATGAGGGAAATAGGTATTTGATCCCCTTCACAAAACATGACTTAGTACTTGGTGGCAAATCCCTTGTTGGCAATCACAGAGATCAGACGTTTCCTGTAGTTGGCCACCAGGTTTGCACACATCTCAGGAGGGATTTTGGCCCACTCCTCTTGGCAGATGCTCTCCAAGTTATTAAGGTTTGGTGGCTGACGTTTGCCAACTCAAACTTTCTGCTCCCCCCACAGATTTTCAATCAGATTAAGGTCTAGAGACTGGCTAGACCACTCCAGGACCTTAATGTGCTTCCTCTTGAGCCACTTCTTTGTTGCCTTGAGTGTGTGTTTTGGGTCATTGTCATACTGGAACACCTATCCACGACCCATTTTCAATGCCCTGGCTGAGGGAAGAAGGTTCTCACCCAAGATTTAACGGTACATTGCCCCATCCATCGTCCCTTTGATGCAGTGCAGTTGTCCTGTCCCCTTAGCAGAAAAGACCCCCAAAGCAGAATGTTTCCACCACCATGTTTGACAGTTGGGATGGTGTTTTTGGGGTCATAGGCAGCATTCCTCTTCCAAACACAGCGAGTTGAGTTGATGCCAAAGAGCTTGATTTTGGTCTCATCTGACAACACTTTCAACCAGTCCTCCTCTGCATCATTCAGATGTTCAGTGGCAAACTTCAGACGGGCCTGGACATGTGCTTTCTTGAGCAGAGGGCGGGCACCTCACGTGTAGTTCTGGGTGATGATTCCTCACTGTTCTCATGATCATTGACACTCCACAAGGTGAGATCTTGCATGGTGCACCAGACCTAGGAAGGCTGACAGTTGTTTTGTGTTTCTTCCATTTGCAAATGATTGCACCAACTGTTGTCACCTTCTCACCAAGCTGCTTGGCAATAGTTTGGTAGCCCATTCCAGGCTTGTGTAGGTTTACAGTCTTGTCCCTGACATCCTTGGACAGCTCTTTGGTCTTTGCCATGGTGGAGAGTTTGGAATCTGATTGTTTGATTGCTCCTGTGGACAGGTGTCTTTTATACAGGTAACAAAATGAGAATAGCAGCACTCCCTTTAAGAGACTGCTTTCTAACCTCAGCTTGTTACCTGTATGAAAGTAACCTGGTAGCCAGAAATCCTGCTGAATGATAGGGGATCAAATACTTATTTCCCTCATGAACATGCAAATTAGTGATTCATTTGTTAGACATGCATTTATTTTCAATTTTTGTATTGCTATGCTGTCTACAGTGTGTTACAATACACCTACCATTCTGATCATTTCTTTGTGAGTGGACAAACATTCAAAATCTGCAGGTGACCAAATACTTATTTCCTTCACTGTAATATATATATAATTTTGTTTATCTTACTTTGATCCTACATCTCTTATGGATATATATGTTTTTTATATCCTGTGAAGGTGTTTTTGGTCATGAGTGGGCGCTGTGTGGGTGTGCGCTTCTGTTTGCATTGACAACATGCTCTCTCCCGATGAAGTAGAGTTTATCTTAGAAATGCATTGGCAAAAAACCTACACCGCTGAGTGAATGAATAGACTATGGATCATGTAGGCCATGTGTTGGGGATAATGGATCGTGTAGGCCAGCATTCACTCAGAAACTAGCATGCAATGCATAACATTTGTTTAGTAATAATTTTTTATTGACTGTTAAAATAAAATGTTCAACTGTTTGATGATACCACCCCTACCTCAATCAGTTGTGTGTGAATCTTCTGAAATGTTTTATTTGTAACATTATCGAGATTTGAGCATTCCAGGGGTAATTTATGTCTAATTACTAGACATGAATGCCGGAAATTTTTGTTTTGTTTTGGATGCATTTGTTCATTGAAGAATTTAGTTTTGTCACATTTGTTATGTTGAACCGATTTGATTTCAGAATTCATTTCATATCTTCAGCATTAGTTTAGTATATTCGTTGGTCCAGTTGGATTTGAAAAATGTAGCAGTTTTTTTTCGAAAGATTGTTATATATTAGTTTTCGGTTTCGATATTTTTTGAGGCAACTTAAAGAATAATGCAAAATTCGGTGGCCTTGAATTTTTCAGTTCTAAGTGTTGCATTAGACTGTGGAAATTAACTGACTGTAACTATTTCAATTTAATCACAAATTTAATTTAATCCGAATTATCAAAACAAATTTGAAACCGGCATTAATTTCCCAATGGGCCTAACCTACTGTTGCATCATGTGACGTCATCCGCTTGAAACAAATGCATTCTTTAATTTTGTTATAACTTTTTTCGGATTCATTGACATTCGTTGCTATGTCGATTAGGAAATTCATACACATCCAAATCTCTGAAAATCGATTTGCTATGAAACGCACATGTTCACCAATTACCAGATCTGGGATTCTTGGGACTAGTCAGTTTTTTGCCACAACTTCTTTACCCTAAGAATCATTCCTCTTCTTCATGCTACCTCCTAGCTTGTTGTTATGCACAATGCCCATGCATTAAAGTGGTTGTGAAGGCTGGAGGTTTTTATCCTTCATGCATTCTATGTATGAAGGTAAAAAACCTTCTGTGTGCAGCAGTGCCCCCAGCCCCCTCAATACTTACCTGAGCCTCATTGCGATCCAGTGATATGAATGACAGCCTCAGCTGTCCCGGGTCTCTGCCTCCTCATTGGCTGAGACAGCAAGTGGGAGCCATTGGCTTCTGCTGCTGTC